ACAAATACAAACTGGGACTTTGGAGGCCTAGAGCTGAAGCTGTGAAATCTTATTTGAGGTTTGATCAAGTATTAGAGACTCTATTTTGAAATCTCTCGATTACCTCTCTAATCCTTTGGAGTAGGTTTAGTGGACTAGGTGACTTACTTGGTGCATGATGTTCTGGATTTGTCTATGTAGACATATTGATTTGTTGAATAAATTGCATGAACTGAAGATCACATTAGAAGAAAACACATGAGAATACTACATACTTAGCCAGTTTAGGGTCACACAACTTTTGTCTGCATTAAATAGTGATCCTCCTTTATCAAACCATTACCATGCTAATGTAAATTGTCATTTTTTGTATCCAAAAAGTAGATAGTAATGACAACATTCAAGGATTTCTCAAGAAGGATGATCACTTTGGGAATATCATAATGTCATTATTATATGACTTGCAAGGAATTTTGATTTTTAAGTATGGTTGACATAGTTTTCTTGGTCAAGACTTTGGTGACCACACATGACCTGCTACTATAACATTTTAAGATGTGAAACCATGCACAGCTTTACCTTTGAATCATGTGTTTAAACCCCTGGTGACATTAACATTGAATCAAGAAGTTCTCTTCATTGAAAATAATTTCATCAATTGCTCTTATGATGGCAATCATATTATATCTATATTGTAAATCATATTTATCTACATTCTTGCTGACTATACATTGACTAATGTTTTTCACGCTTTTTTGTTGAGGTTGTTCATATTCTTGTTCTACGATTGCTTCCCTACGTTGAACTCATATTTTTTTGCTGATGACAACTGTGTTTTTGCCATGTCCCTATATAGTGTCATTGTATACTGTAACTATATTGCAATAAGTAAAACCAAAATCAACGTAAAAGAGTTTTGAATTCTCAATAAAACGAATGTATTTAACATTAAGAAACAAATCAAAAGAAATTCTCACTAAAATTAGGGTTATGTATTTTATGTTTAGAATTTTTTAATGAAGAAAAAATTTAAAATATATGATTTTTCAAAAACTCAAATCAACGTCGAAGAACTTCAAATTGTCAATAGAGATTTACCATACAGTAACATCATTCCTACAGTTTCTGAAACTCTTATAAATCATGGAAAACAAATGTATTTAACATTAAGGAAAAAATTTAAAGAAATTCTGACTAAAATTATGGCTATGTATTTTATGTTTTTGGATTTTTCACCGGTAAATTATTTTCTTATTGTTGGAGATAACCAAATGAAGTTGAACTAAAGATTCGCAATAATCCCAGCGAATGAAAGCCAAACTTAATTTTTCAGCCAAATTAGGGCTTACTTTTTTCTCTTTTAGGGAATTTTCAAGTAATGAACAAAAAAAAGTTTAAATAATTGAAATTAATACCATTAGAATCACCCAAATACTCTAGTGAAGTAGCACAAAGATTTTGGTGAAGAGCTTCTCAAATAACGTCAGAACACTAAATTAGTGTCGAAGACCTTCTCCTTCCTTCTCCATATAAACGATCTCGAAAGTAAGAACACCGATATATTTCTTTTTTTGAAACCCATAATTTTGGCGACGGTAAAAATGGAGAATCCAAAATTTAAGTGTAAACAACGATTCTGACAACTATAATCCAAGATTTCGTCAGTCAAATATGGAATATATACATTTAATGATATGGAAGATATAGATTGAAATCCCAAAATGTTTCAAATTCAAAAGTTTTAGGAATGGTACCAACTGAATGTTGGTTTTGGAAACTGACATTAATGGCTCATTGGTAATTGATGCTTAAGAAATAGGCTATGTTTTTTATTCCCAAAACCAGAGGCCTCTTCATCTTCTTCATTTAAAAAGGGATTTTATGACTTTTTCCTAGCAGATGAATTCGTCTAAACTGTTTTAAAAAGTGTACTTTTATCTTATTAAGTCCTTATAGAGGTACTGGCCTCCTTATGCCCCTAGTGGATTTGTATTATAAGTTGGCCCGAGCACATGACTGCTCATGGTCAACCTAATAGCTCAACGAATTGGGTCAAAGATAATAGTCCTTGATTTGGTTTGTTAGGCTCAATGGACCTGTGACTCGGCCATGGACCCAACAAATTTTTTTTTTGTCAAGATATAAAATGTTTATTAGATAATATGGGTATACTTTAACCCTATCTATGCCTATTCTAGCCTCCTTGAGAACAATTTGCATTAGTTGTTGTGGAAAGGAGGCTATCCAATGAGGAGGGAGAATGTCTTGGCGAGTTTTTGTGGCCACTGTGTGAGCTGGTAAGTTACATGTCCTTTTCATAAAGTTGTACCTAATATAAGGTAGTTGTCGTCCATTATACCAAATATCATGCTGGATTGATTCAATCTTCCTTTATGTTTGTTGTTGGTCCATACTTGAGAGAATCGATAAGTTCGTTTGAATCTAATTCTATGGTCACCGAAGGATATCCATCCTCTAAATTTGTTTACATGCTCTTCTCAATGAATTGGCTCTAGTCACTGATGATGATGTGACGCCTCTAAAATTGGGATTTTTTGTCAACCTGTTGATCACTCATCAACCTGCGAAAATACCCATAAATGTCACATAACTCAATATTACGGCAATAACATCCCTTTTACCAGAAGTATGAATAACACAATGTTTGAGTAGAGTTTCCCTTGTACCGGACACTCCTAAACGTATAACTTGTGTACATTTTTATCACATTACCATTCCAAGGTCTAATATATATCAATTTACTCTTAATTTTACTCCATTCACATTCTTTGAACAAAATGACATTTTCATTTTCTGAAAATTACAAAGGACCTACCGGTAGAAAAACTCACTAGAATACTTCTACCGACAGAGACTCGACGTTCTACTGGTAAAAATGCCTACTAGAATTGTTCTACCGGTAGATAATCAATGTTCTACCGGTAGAAATGCCTAGTTTGCCCTCATTTCAATTTTGACTCTTCCAATCTCATGCCACAACAACTCAAACTAATATAACATATGATTTTATACAAAACATTGTCCATACGAGTTTGTTTTACAATTCTTTACACAATATCACAAGTCCAAAAAAAACTAAATTACATATTTGTTTTACAAAAATGTAATTTAAAGTTATATCTCGGTTTTTCTTTATCAATGAGAGCCCAAATAAGAGTCATCTACCGGCGTTTGTCCCGCATTTGAAATATTGTCCCTATAAAGGGTGAGTCACGCTCAATAAAGTATCTCCTAAAAATGTTACTTCCCAACTTAGATGCATATGAAATGTTCACATGTAATTCAACAATCAACAAACAATCTATTTAAAAATATACAATTCATAATAAAATTTTCTATGTTATATTATGTTATGAGAAGAGACTCACACATTAAACTCAATCTGAACATTCATCGGCTCCCATATCACATGCAATATCATGTGTATGCATCCGGACATTCTAAACTCTTGTCATTGATACTACACATCCAATGACCATAAAAATTCTTGGGTCTTTCTTGAAGTGAGTATTTATGGACTTACACCAACGGACACCTAACCAACATGACATTTATAGACTTCAACCAACAACTCTCGGAGTGAATTCCTGAACATGTTTAACTGGCTTGTGCTTAACCCATCACGGATTGTTGATTGACGATCCATTAACGCCACCGTTTTTTTTAAAAAAATTATTTAAAATTTTTTTCCTTATATTATGTTCAAGAATACAGTGTAATTGATTTTTTTTCATTTTGATTTTTACAAAATTTTTTTGTACATACATTTGGAATATAGAGTAATTGAATAAATGATGTTAACAATAAAATTGTATATTGGTTATACAAGATATGATAAAATAGATGGTTGTTTGTGAGACCCACTATAGTACCTATTAAACAAACAAACATTAAAAAAAAAAAATTGAACTAACAAACATGGGAGGGAATTGAAATTCTTTCTATTATCGGTACTAATTTTCATTGATATTAAAAATATAAGGAATACATTTCTCAATACCTTCCATAGCAATCCTCAAAACAAATATGCCCTAATAAAATTAGACATTCCGTAGCATTAGTAATGAATTTTGATTATTATATATCAAACACCGAAATGGACATGATTTAGTAATGGGTAATGCCATTCAATTGATTCATTATCACTTACAACATGCAATGTTAGGGGATAAACTGACCAATTGCACAGGTCATCACTAAGGTGCCTGGGCAATTGTTCAAAGAATAACTACAATTTCAAAAGAACAATATTCATAATACAAAGGAAGAATAAAGAGTATATTTTCCTGACAATCACATTTGTTTCACATTTAGACAAATAGAAGCAGAGTGACGAGTAATAATACAAAAAGTAATGTTATTGAGANATTTAGACAAATAGAAGTAGAGTGACGAGTAATAATACAAAGAGTAATGTTATTGAGACCTAATTTACTGTAACTTTTAAATTTACTATACATCTCATCAAATATTAAAACTTGATGTTGATGTAATANGCAGAGTGACGAGTAATAATACAAAAAGTAATGTTATTGAGATCTAATTTACTGTGACTTTTAAATTTACTATACATCTCATCAAATATTAAAACTTGATGTTGATGTAATAATTTTATGAAATTGTGTCAAATTCATAATCTATCCCAAATGGACCAGTGATTGGGAAATCCATTATCGGCATCCACAGCAGAAAGTAATTATACTTACTTTAGGGGTCTCTTCGTTATTTAGACAATTGTCAGGGGAGGTCATGATAGTTAATCTTAAGATAGGTTAGATCTCGGTGCAAAAGCTATCCGACGGTCACTAGTGACTCTCCGAACAGCTCAGAAGTACAAGGGAACAAAAAATATTCTCCCAAATCGGAGAGAGCAGTGACGCTGCGGAGAGAGAGAGAGAGTAAGCATAGGAAAATGAGGAAATNAAAGGGAACAAAAAATATTCTCCCCAAATCGGAGAGCAGTGACGCTGCGGAGAGAGAGAGAGAGTAAGCATAGGAAAATGAGGAAATTCGATCCATGGCCCGTTTTCTTCAGGAGGGAATGGAACCGTAACTGGCCATTCCTAGTCGGCTTTGCCATCACCGGCACCATCATCACCAAGCTTTCCCTTGGCCTTACTGGTATTCTCTCTCTCTCTCCGTATAGATGCACATGTATGTAGATCATGTATAATTTGTTAAGATTTGAACAACTTTTTTTTATCTTTTTTACCGTTGCCAATGTGCAGAGGAAGATGCGAAGAACTCGCCCTTCGTCCAGAGGCACAAGAGGTACGCCCCTAAGCTGCCNCCGTATAGATGCACATGTATGTAGATCATGTATAATTTGTTAAGATTTGAACAACTTTTTTTGATCTTTTTTACGGTTGCCAATGTGCAGAGGAAGATGCGAAGAACTCGCCCTTCGTCCAGAGGCACAAGAGGTACGCCCCTAAGCTGCCCTAAATCCATAGTTTGTATCTTAATGATATAATTTGTATCTAAAACCTAATTTTTTTATTGTGTTGTATATCGTGTTTTAAGTGTTTGATCCTAGACAATAAGCTTATGCTCACTTTTTGTACACCTTTAGCAGCAAATCTCTTATTTTTCCGAAGGCCACAGGTTAACCAGGAGAACAGAAAATTGGTAAAAGAACTAAACTAGACGTGCTGAGTTGTAACAGAGGTCAATGAGGGCTAACATAAGTCTAAGTTATAACAATGACTTGCATAGTTGCATTACATTTAACAGGTTAGAAAAGTGCAAGCGTTGGTTTTGCTTAAGGACTTCCCCAAACAAGGAAAAAATATTAATAGCAATGGTGATATCACCAACCATAATGTATAAACAAATAGGAAAACGGACCGAATACAAGCCAATAATTATCTATCTATGTAACCACTCTTCTTCCATGTAAGTTAATAATTACCCAAATAGAGTTCACTTTGCCCATTTAGAGGTTTATTATTGGTTGGTGATACCATGTCATCAATGTTGACATCGTATCACCGTTGCATTGAATATTTTCTCACAAACAAGGTGTTGGTTTTGTAAACCTCTAAGCCAAATCACAACTAAGTTAAAAAAAAAAAAAAAATTAGCTAAAAAGTAGTAAAATATGAATGATTTTAGACCACCCCCAACTCATTACTAGCTTTGTGATGACATTTTACGAAAAATAAAGAGAAATAAAACTTGTGCTTATTACACAGTCACAAATTGTGTAGTGGGCTGAATTACATAGAAGCCTCAANAGAGGTACGCCCCTAAGCTGCCCTAAATCCATAGTTTGTATCTTAATGATATAATTTGTATCTAAAACCTAATTTTTTTATTGTGTTGTATATCGTGTTTTAAGTGTTTGATCCTAGACAATAAGCTTATGCTCACTTTTTGTACACCTTTAGCAGCAAATCTCTTATTTTTCCGAAGGCCACAGGTTAACCAGGAGAACAGAAAATTGGTAAAAGAACTAAACTAGACGTGCTGAGTTGTAACAGAGGTCAATGAGGGCTAACATAAGTCTAAGTTATAACAATGACTTGCATAGTTGCATTACATTTAACAGGTTAGAAAAGTGCAGGCGTTGGTTTTGCTTAAGGACTTCCCCAAACAAGGAAAAAATATTAATAGCAATGGTGATATCACCAACCATAATGTATAAACAAATAGGAAAACGGACCGAATACAAGCCAATAATTATCTATCTATGTAACCACTCTTCTTCCATGTAAGTTAATAATTACCCAAATAGAGTTCACTTTGCCCATTTAGAGGTTTATTATTGGTTGGTGATACCATGTCATCAATGTTGACATCGTATCACCGTTGCATTGAATATTTTCTCACAAACAAGGTGTTGGTTTTGTAAACCTCTAAGCCAAATCACAACTAAGTTAAAAAAAAAAAAAA